TCCTTGCCCAGCCTTTGAGCCTGGTGGCTGCAGCTCCACGGGAGGGATGCTGCCAGCCCGGCACCTCGCTCTGGGGTTGAAACCCCGAATCTGGCTGCGATAGTGGCAGCGGCCGTCAGACAGCGAGGAAGGATCCCCAGGGGCTTTCTGACAGCGGCAACGGCTGCTTTTCTCCCGCTTGGGCGACCAGCATTGCTCCCCCCCACCGCCTCGCCAGCCTCATGTTGGGCTCTGGCGTGTGGCAGGAGTCCTGGGGCTGAAACGGCGTCCCAGTGACTCACGGCAAGAAAGGTCATGAATAATGAAATGAATCAGGCTGGGATGTGGGGAAACGCTACGGTGATGCTGGTGGGAATTGTTTGAATCCCATTTTCTCTGCTGGAAAGAGCAACCGGCCCCGCGGTGTTGGACACCCTGCGTCCCATCCCCATGCGGCTTGATCCGCGACAGCTGGCATCAGGTTTGCTTTTGGCATTGGGGCCGGTGGGGCAGGCGATTCCCAGGGAAGCAGGACCTTGGGCAAACGCCTCCTCCCTGGGGAGGGAGCCCAGCACGGGGACGTAGCCCCTGGGGAGTGGAAACACCTACGCTAGAGCTGCGGGCTGCGGTTGCGCAGGGAAGGGAGCAGACACGTATTCCTTGCCTGGCCCAGAAACAAATTTGTGTTTCAAGCTGTCACCCCTCTCCCACCTCTTGAGCTGCAGAATTTGAGGCAAATAACCAGTGTTATTTTCCTGTTGTTCCCCCTCTCTCCCTCCCCCGCTGGTACGGCGCGGCGACGGCAGCAGCTGGAGGAGATTACAGCTGTGCTGGGTGGGAGCAGCCCTGGCTCTGCCTCCCCCCCTGCGCTCCACCCTTCCCTGGGGACACCATCGGGTGTGGGGACGGCCAGCGGTATGTGGCACCAGGAACCGGAGCTGAGCAGCTTTGCTATAAGAGGAATAGGAAGAAGCCACAAATATTGGAGTGGTTTGAGAAGGAAGCCTGGTTTGGAGCAAAACACCAGAGGAAAAGCATGCGAACCGCCCCCCCCTGTCCCTGCAGCCATGCCCGGTGGCTGTTCCCACCTCCCTGTGCCCCTCGTCATGAGGAGCCGGGGGGCGCGAGTGGTTTCCTTTCATGGTAGGAGTTTTCTGGGAAGTTTCAAGCCCATGGCAAACATTTCTAGGAAAGGCATTGCAAATCCTTGGAAACAGGTTTGCTCGTGACAACAACAAACTGCACGGAGCAAAACGGCAGTGGGGAGAGAGCAGGGAGAAGCTGGGACATTTTTAAAGCATGAAAATGTGTGTGAGGGGTGGATTTAGACTGACGTGCACTGTCGAGTTGGAAATTCCTCCTCCAGGACTGAGCAAGATGAGCAAATCCCCCTGCGGCCCTGGCTTCGGTGCCTGAACAGTGCTGGAGCTCGGAGGCAGCGTTAGCATGGCGTTTTGTCGAGAAGTGCCTTTTCCTGCCCGTTGGGGAGCGGGTCCTGCAGCGGTGACGCTGCGGCAGGCAGGCGCG